AATTAAGAAGTATAATTTTATTGAAAAGCATGAATGGCAAAGCAAAAGGAAACGTCAATATGATAGGGAGTCTTGCTCTGTTACCCAGGCTTGAGTGCACTGGCTCAATCACAGCTCAATGAAGCCTCGACCATCCAGGCTCAAGTGATTCTCTCGCCTCAGCCTCTCGAGTAGTTTAGACTACAGGTGCAAGCCACCATGCCTGGCTAATTTTTTCATTTTTTGTAGACATAGGGTCTTGTTACATTACCCAGGCTAGCCTCTAACTTGTGGGCTCAAGCGATCCTCTTGCATTGACCTTCCAAAGTATGGGGATTATGGGTGTGAGCCACTGTGCCCAGCCTCAATATGAATTTTATAAAAGTCCAAATGCTCTGAACATGGAGAACTTCCATCTACAAAAAATCGTTCTGCCTTAAGGTGTGCAAAGAAGTGAGGCTAGAACTCATTTCAGAAACAGATTAAGTGGACACCAAAGAATATTTAAGCTTCAGAAGGGAAAGAAGGGTTATCAATGAACAGTAGCTGAGATCATAGGCCCCTTATCTGCAAAGAGAGAGAATCTGTGGTAAGCTGCATTACAAACCAGAATTCATTTGAAAGATAAAATGCAGAAGCTCCAGGGCCTTAGATGCAGCCTCATTTCCTTTGTACCCTGCCACCCAGCTGTTGCCTATGATTTCACTGAAATAGTTATCACCTCCAGTTAGCAAAATCTAAGGGAGTGATTCTCAATTTCTATTCTGCAAAAGAATCCACTGAAAAGGTTGCTAAAATGTAGATTCTTGGCCCACACTCCCTGAAAATGCTGACACGTTAAGTCTGTGTGGGCTTAGGAACCTTTATTTTAACAAGCATCCCATGGAAAAGGTCATCAGGGGTTCACACTCTGAGCTACTGTCTAAGGCTTTAATCCTCAGACTATTGGTTGAGACCTACTAAGAAGTCTTGAAGTCAGCTTAGTGAGATTAGCATTTGAAAAGAAACAGAAGAAAAAACAGAAAAATGTCAGTGTATACTGTGCAATTTTTAGATTCATTCACATATATGAGTGTGGGTGTACATGTGCAGTGAATTGTGAGGTACAATATATTTCAGACTGTGCATCCCAACTGAGAAAGTTGGAGAAACAGTGGCCTAAAAGGACATGAAGATCACTTCCCTGTGACCCATTTATCGTTTTCTCTATCTCCACACTGAGTTCCAAATCACTCCAGCTCCACTTCCCTCCCATGTCTACAAAGAGGACATAAGACTGTGTTTCTTTGTTCTCCAGGGTCAGGCATGACAACTGGCTTTTCGGCTTCAGGAATGAATATGGACAACTTGAAGGAAGCCTTGCCAAGACCCCAGTGGAGCCTCAGATGCAGCGGATGATGAGAAGTGAGTGAAAACCATTTAGATTCCGACTTGGGGATCTTCCAAAGGTCTGGAGGAAGAGAAATGGCAGGAAGGAAAGGGTAGAAAATGAGGGGCAAACTCGGGAGAGTAGGTTGAGACCTCAGAAGCTGGAAGGTGAGCCAATGCATTATTCTTTCCGTATGGAGATGATGTTAGTAACCCACCTGCAGGAGCTGGAGTGTTTTTAGCTATTTGTCCTCCCAGCAATGGCACAGATCCTTTTCCATTCATTCATATTATCTTGATCCAACTTATAGTGAAAATAATAAGGTTTCACAGGTGCTGGTCTAGATATGAACAGGCCCACCACTTGTTCTCCTGCATACAGCCTAATCATGTGAGAAAGAGCCACCAGAAAGACAGCACCAGGAAAATAACGCCAAGCATGTTTAGCCTGGTGTGCTATTCATCTCTCCCAGCTTCTCCACTCTGGTCTTTCCAGCCCCTTGGGAATTCCTCCATGAGGTCCATTTGGAAAAGAGTACCAAGGAGGCTCAGGGGACTGAAAACCAGCTGTGCACTGTGGCTTGGGTTATCTTCAATTTGAGGAAGCTGTTTTTCTCATTCCCTAGCTCCCTTCTCCATGCCACCACCACAAAAGAGTACCTTTTCCTAATGTTCACAAAGGTTTAATATAGGCTAGCAGTACCCCAGGGGAAGAGAGCTCCATTCCTTTAACAAGTCACTGTGCCTTTTCAGGACATCAGGTAGTCTTTCGGTGTTCAAAAGACACCCACATTCAACACACATGCAATCACCACTCTTTGCTCTAAGTAGCTTTTGTAATGACCATATCTCCGCTCCAGCCCTTCAAAATTGGAGGGTGTGCCTACTAACAAACATCCTGGATGGCCTATCAGAGTAAAAAGAATAGAAACCCAAGATGTGAGCATAAATCACTCCAATAATTCCATAGTATCTGGCCACAGGCATCTCAGCTACATCTTCACTTAACTAGGTCATTTTAGGGGGCTTGCAGTGTCTAGGACACCACTTATTTTTTAGAGTCTTATTTTGTTGGGGATCAATTCAGAAAAAAAAGTGAAGCTTCATGGAATATGTACATATTGTCACCATTTAGAGAAAATGACAGAAGTGAAGGAAAAAAGAAGCATCCTACTTATAAGGTCAATTCGGCTCATGCGTGTCTGTGATCTCAGGGTCTTACAGTTCACACACTGCCACACAAATGTTCCAACCAGTCCATCCACAGCCACTCATTATGCCAGTAAGTGGATGATACTTTTTAAAAATTTTTTATATATGTTTTAGCAGAGCCATTTTAAACCTCGGCTGTAACAACACTTGCACATCTAATTCATTGTCATTATCTTTGCTAAATGCTTTCAGTGAAGGAGGAATGAGAAAACAGGTCTTTTGTATTCCTGGGCTATCAATAATCTTCTTCCTTGGAGGTGAATGTTTCACTCCAAAGGAAAAAAAGACTCTATTTTATACTTGCTATTTGTCTATCCTGTATAAGTGAGGACTGAAAATGTGAAGTATATAGCACTTGCTAGGCACTCAGTACGTGTTGATATGGATTCTCTTTGGGGTGAAGGAAGGTGGGTTATCAAGCAGGCTCCTGTTTCTCTGGGGAACAGAACTGTACAGAAGAGGGGAAGGCAGTGTTCACAGGTACCTGAGGGAACCCGCTGGTACCAGCCCTCTTCTTGGTACAGCAGACTTAGGACTGAATATGTGGCTTCTGCAATTTAATCACCATTGGACTTCTTACAGCCTAATGGTGTATGTCAATTAGTATATTAGGATATGTGACTTACCAATCAGACACATCAATTTAGGGTAACTGGATAAACAAGCTAACTTGTGGCTGGGGCCTAAACCTGGGTCATCATCCTAACACGTCAGAAATATCTTTGTTTTTTCTCTTAGTCTGTAATTCCTCCTAACACACAAGCTTCCAATTCTAGGCTCTAGTCATGTTAGAATATTTGCATCCCCTCTCTCAATGCACCACAATCTTTGACACCCCTTTGCACCTGCTTTTCTCTGTACTTGGAATGCCCACCCATCCTTTACCTTCTTCTGCACAGTCAACACCTACTTCTAGGAAGTCTTTTCTGTCCATTGATAGTGGGTTAGGGCCCACCCTCAAGGCTTCCCAGGCTTGCCTCTGTCATTGGACTGATGCCATTATCATCCCTCTGTTTCCCAGGGAGTCTCCTCACTAGACTCCGTACTCCCTGGGGATTTGTAATACATTCTTTGAGTGAATGAATGCACAGGATGGGTATTAAATGAATGGAGGAGTGAGTGGTGAAAGAATGAACCCAGGATTGGAACACAAAGTTCAGAACCCAACTTCCCATACTATCCTTTCTCTCACAATATCCTTGTCAGTTGCAAAACAAATAGCTAGGTTTAATAAGGTGGCTAGGGAAATTGAGGTCTTTAGAGGAAAAAAGCGAGTAGCTAGCCTATTGCCTCCTCTGAATCTGACATTTATTTGCTCTTCTGGATAAAATAACGAATATCTAGCTAATAGATTATTAACCACAAAATATGTCTTGGTTCTCAAGAAAGATGGCATGAGATTGTTACCATTTTATACATCCTTATATATTAACAAAAAATAAAGCACTCACTCTAGAAAAGAAAACTAGACCTCCACTGCTCTCCTTGGCCCAGGGTTCCACAAACACTGTTACTTACATATGCCTTGGTTAACCTTGCCAGCAAATCTTGAATTCAACTTTGTGTGCAAGAGTGGGTTTTCTTCCATGTAGCAAAGTGAGGCAACTATCACAGTCAGAGACAGAACATAACTAGTGCTTGCTTTATCCTGGCCCAAGACCATCTAACACATCTTGGAGAGAACTCCATGTCTCCTGAACAACCTAACCATCTACTGTAAGTCTGTAATGAAAGATTAAACCTCCTTACATTGAACCTGAACCCCATTTTCTGTGAAGCTATGAGTGTATGACATTTAGAAAATCTTCTCCCCTTCCAATGAGACTGGAACGATAGACTAATTATGTAAGCTCCGTGTGACATTGGAGCCTCAAATTTTTGTAAGAAGATTCTGGCCATAAATAATTTCTTTTTTTCTTTTTTGGGGGGGACAGAGTGTTGCTCTGCCATTGAGGCTGCAGTGCAGTGGCACAATCTTGGCTCACTGCAACCTCCGCCTCCCGGGTTCAAGTGATTCTCCTGCCTCAGCCTCCCAAGTAGCTGGGATTACAGGTGCCTGCCATCACGCCTGGCTAATTTTTGTATTTAGTAGAGATGGGGTTTCACCATGTTGGCCAGGCTGGTGTTGAACTCCTGACCTCAAGTGATCCGCCCACCTTGGCCTCCCAAAGTGCTGGGATTATAGGTGTGTGCCACCACACCCAGACATCATAAATACATTTTTGATAAATACATTTCTTGAAAGCCAATTTTCCCTGCTTTTCAGGATAACCCCCCAGGGATTGTATTTTGAGAACAAAGTCTCTGAAGATCTGTCTTTAAGCTTCTTTGCTTGGCTGAGCCGACAGGAGGATAGCATTGCCATGCTTACATCCGGGCATACATGCTATGCAGAATGGCTGCCAAATTTGACCCTAGGAAAAGAAGGAAAGCTTACTGACCTTGTGCAGCTCCACAGGAGTTGGAGACATGATCTCCTTTATTTCTTGTTTCATTTTTCTCAGGGTTACTGACTTCCTACCCACATCTGAAGGCAGGGTGTTGCTCCGAGTTGTTTGGCTGTAGTGCGGCCGCGAGCTGCTGCGCTCCTGGAAGCTGGCCTGTCGCCCCAGCTGATTGCGAGGTGTTGGAGCCTCATGATTCAAACTCATCGTGCTCCCCGACATGATTGTTGCCTGTGGCATTGACAATTTTTAGAAACAGTTAAACCATGGACTAAGGAAAGAGTTTGGTGCTCAACAGTAAGCACATTTATCCTTCTGCGAGGTAAAAATACAGTCTCTTCAGGGCAAAACCAAAGGCTGGAGAATGGATGTACTAATTGAACTATGAAAGTCTGGAAAATGCTTTGCAAGTGACATTTATAATGCACGTCTCAAATCCAATTTAAGTACTTAAGCCGCTGAGTTTATTTAATCAAATACCACCCCTGGCAGTTTTGAGGCAAATTGAAATGCTCTAACATTTGCTTACTGTAAACTACATTTTAAGCATTAACTTTCCACTGAGTGGGTTTTAACAGATGGGATTCATGAGGCCACCTTGAATATATCTTACAGAAATGCACCAAGAACTTCTCAATGGACACCAGGCTGCCTGTACTTGCAATACTGCCTCTATCTCCAACGGCAGCTAACAATGGGTTGGAATGGGATGACTGATATACAGGCAAGGGGTTCTTCCCAAGCTTCTGTCTAGCACTGTATATTGTCTTTCCTTTGGCCAAGTGGCCTGTCCTCAAAGTTTGTAGACCAGCTAAGTCTCCATATTATTTGGTACAGATTAAATGTTTCTTAGAAATACCCTTTGCATAAGATCCTCAGAGAATCTTTTCATTTATTATCATTTATTATGTTCTTATATTCAACTTTTTGCTCACAAGCAGTAGGACTTGAATTGGATGTTACCAGTGAATTGGGAAGTTTGTTTGGTTTCAAATATGTTCTTCCCTGAATACTTCACAAGCAATGACAAGATTAGATACCAAATATAAACAAGGCTCAGAACTGGAAAAAAAAAAAAAAAAGATTTGAAACCAATAACAAGTAGTGGATATTCATTTCTCATGGTTGGAGAATGCTAAAATTCTGAAAACATGCCCATAGCCAGCTCTGTACTCCTGGGTGTAATGGTATAAAGGTAAACTAGCATTGATAAATCTGCCTGAAACCATGGGGACAGAAAACAAGTTCCATTTGCCATGTGATTTAGTTGTTTATATTAATACTGATGCTAAAAGTAACAGAAGCTTAACTTGTTGAGTCTTTTGAATGTAGTCACTCATTTAAGCCTCACAACAACTCTGTGGGGTAGGTACTGTTACTTCTCTCAATTTATTTGTTTGTTTATTTATTTATTTATTTATTTATTTATTTATTTATTTTCTTTTATGAGAGAGACTCTCACTCTGTCACCCAGACTGGGGTGCAGTGGTGTGATCCTGGCTCACTGTAGCCTCTGCCTTCTTTGTTCAAGCAATTCTTGTGCCACAGCCTCCCAAGTAGCTGGGACTACAGGCAAGGACCACCATGCTTGGCTAATTTTTGTATTTTTTGTAGAGATGGATTTCACCATGTTGGCCAGGCTGGTCTGGAACTCCTGATCTCAAGTGACCTACCCAACTTAGCCTCCCAAAGTGCTGGGATTACAGGTGTGAGTCACCACACCTGGCCATTCCTCCCAACTTATAGGTAAGCAACTGAGGCAAAAAGAGACTGACTCACCCAAGCTCACATTGGTAGTAAATGAGCCGAGGGCACTTTATAAAACTATTGATTACAAGGGAATACTGCAAAGTGAGTAGAGTTTTCATCTGTCACGTCTCTAAGATTTCATGATTCTCAAATTCACCTGGTGTTCAGCTATGCACACACTATTAACAAGATCTTTGAACAACAGCCAAGTGTTGGCACACATGTGCATATATCTAACAACATTGTTGAAAAAGAAATGAAACAAGTGGACCATTCATATCTTGGCTAGATCAGTTATCACACTGATAATTTTGAAAAAGAAAATTATAACTGTAAAAAGACTTGCTGATCACTGAACATTAACATGTGCTAAGTCCCATACAGATTGTATGTAGAATATCATGTAATACATAAGTAACCCTGCACAATAGATATTAAAATTACCATACATCCTCATTTCAGTAAAGGAAAGAGATGCATGGACAAGTTAAGCACTTGCCCAAGAGCCAGGGCATGGAGCTCTAGCATTCTGACTCCAGAACTCTCATTCTTGACTATTCGGTGCTTCTCGGTGAAATGTTAGATTGAACCATATAAAACTTCCTTTTTAGTAAGTAGAAAGATGCCTAGCATTTAAAAACAAGTGTGGACTATTTATATAACAGTTTATTTCAGACAAATATCCTTTTTAAGTTGATTGAAACCTTTCTTTACTGGCTTCATTGGTGTCATGGGATATTCTTTATTTTATGGCACTTACTCATGTATATTTTATTTTATTTTATTTTATTTATTTATTTATTTATTTATTTATTTATTTATTTAGTTTTAAACGGAGTCTCACTCTGTCGCCAGGGTGAAGTTCAGTGGTGCGATCTCAGCTCACTGCAACCTCTGCCTCCCGGGTTCAAGCGATTCTCTTGCCTCAGTCTCCCAAGTAGCTGGGATCACACGTACCTGTCACCAAGCCTGGCTAATTTTTGTATTTTTAGTAGATATGAGGTTTCTCCACATTGGCCAGGCTGGTCTCAAACTCCTGACCTCAGGTGATCCGCCTGCCTCAGCCTCCCAAAGTGCTGGGATTACCGGCCTGAGGCACCGTGCCCGCCCCATTTCTATGTTTAATCTAGTGTATCTGACAGTGCTCAGCAGTTATTTTCTTGCCATGCTGACCCTCCATTTATTATTTTTACCTACTTAGACTAGTTGTTTGCTTTGTTAACATCCATTTTTAAATATTCATTTTTCATGAGAATGACAGGACATGTGTTGGAAGTAAAACACTTAATCACTACATCTGGGAGACCACAGTTTTGCTTTGATGAGTCTCAGCTGCCATAGAAGAAATTACAAATTGATTTAGAAAAGGTTCTGATGGAAGAAATAAGATACTATCACTAATTCTTTGGTTCGCATTTCCAAGTAAGTATGGGAGTCTGTATAGTAATCAAAATTTGATTACTTTGTTTAAAATGAACTTTAGGTAGCATCTAAGAGGGAACATAAAAGGTAAAACAAATATAAAAACTAAAATAAAAAGCTAAAAAAACAATTATTTTTAATTACCTAGGATTTGCTTTGGTCTCAAGAGTATGTATTACCTGTTTTCATTTGCCGTAATTCATAATTGCATATTATCCCTAAGGCAACCTAGAGTTCTCTATCTGATATTTAGTTAAATCTTCTTCCTATATTATGCTAAACACAAAATAGTTAAAGCAGTGTTCATTAATCAAGAAAGGGCAAAAATACTAATAGTTAATTTTTACTGCTTTGTTAAATACTTGTTAAGTGCCACATAATTATTAGCTCATTATAATTTCCATCTTTTATAGAAGAAATATCTGATAAGAGAGGTTAAAAACTTGTCCAAAGACTCATTCAAATTTCTCTCCTTTGTTAAAGCTATACATTTTTCAGTGCTAAAGTTGAACCTAAATTATTGCTAGCTATAGGGAAAATGATTAGTAAACTAATTTTCATTTCCATTTCAATTGTAATCATCTTTCATCTTAGCTAACCTTCTACATTTATTAGTATTATAGTGTGCTTTAACTTTTAATGCTGGATGTAAATTTAATATGCAAGAATCTAGCTCTAATATTTTTTGTATAACAGCATTTCCAATCAAGGGAATGGGGTTCATTTAAACCAATAAATAAATATTCTTTGTGATAATAGTCTAAATATAACTAATTTACGACTTTGCCAATTATTCATGCTAGTTGAGGATTTAATTTCCCTTTGGCTTATAAATTCAACTCATTTGCTTTCTGCATTAATAATGTCAAGGGCCACACCTGTCTGGAGCTATGTTACAGCAAAGTCATAGGCTGTGGCAACATAAAGTCTACTCTTGCTGATGGATGTTGTTTTCATCAGATAACTCAATTTCTGGGTGAAAATAGAACCTCATTGTATTACTTTTTACATCATTTTATTTTTGCCTAATGTAAAACAAGCTGTTAGAAAAACAACTTTTTTCTTCAAAAGGGAAGTATCAAAATGCACACTGAAAAAGCAGCATGGGCCAAAACGTGCTTTCAAAAGCAGGGCTATGTTCAAGAATTGTGAATTGTGCTCATTATTCAGTGTGGGCTACTTTTCTTCATCATTCTACATGCAGAAGGTGGTACAGGTTTAAATAAGCCAGCTGATACTTAAGCATTCTGTTCTTTTTGAAAGTTGTGAAAAAAGGAATCACTGCTAACATCTTACTTCATTTAGATTTTACAGGATTATCCATATCCAGAACCTTTAACTGTGCTCTGAAGCTGCAGTTCATGCCAGGTAATACTATGACGTTTACAAGTTCAAACTAGTATTTTTCTTCATAATTCTCTTTGCAGATTCACAAACATTAGAATCACATAAAATATCCACACATGCAATTGAGAAGCAAAATAATATAAAGATGAGTAATCATTTTAGAATTGCAACAGTTTCACCCCATTATGCCATTCACATTCCTTATGGTGACTTGGGGACCTCATAAGACATCAAAATAAAAATGAGACTTTTGCCACTTTATTTTTTACAGCTCAGAAAATTTAAAAGAACATAAAAGGAAACAGTCCAGGACTTCCCAGACTAAAGTGTGAATACCATCAGCGAATTCATGGCTTTGATTAAAGAACTCACCAGGAGTTCAGCCATTACATTCCATCTCATTCTTCCTTGAATTCACACTAAGTTAATACAGATGGAATCAGGATTTGCAATTAACAGCAACGTACTATGTAATATTTTTGCTGCTTATCAAATAGACTGGCCTTTTTCACCAGCTGCATTGTCATCTACTTTAAGGACAAAACAAAGTAAAATAAAATTTCCTCTTATGTTCCTCTTAGCGATCAAATTAATTTCTATACCAGGTACAAATGAAAACATGCCAAAGAAACCTTTCTAAAGCAACTAAGAGAATGGGATGCGCCACTGCTGGGAGACTTAGCTCGCTTTTTAGCGATTTGGTGGGAAACGGATACAGTCAGGGTTAGCAGGGAGCAATGGCAGAAGCCACAAGTCAGTAAGCTTGAGGGGTGGAGATGGGGAAATAAATACTTTTGACTGCATTGTATAAAATCAAATTGCTGTCCAGAAGGCAAGGGGGTAGGGAAGGCAGCTTCACAAGCAAAAATATAAACATAAAGGGTAGCTACCAAGAGAGTCATGTTTCTCAAAGACACACGCCTGTCAGCTTTCTCCTGTGGAAAGGGTTAAAGCTTTTAAATGAACTGGTGTGAGAAATGCAAACTTAAAAGGACCAAAGAAAATGAATGTAGAAACAATAAAAGTAAGTAGCAGGACTGAGGCTACCTCCAGTTCTCTCAGAATTCCTGACTGTCCGCAGGTTTCCAAATCCTCCAGCGCTTGAGACCAGAAGTTCTCCTCTTGTTCTGTCTCTGCACTATCGGCAGCCCCTGCAAAACTGTTGTCAAGAAACACAGGCTGGGTTAGGAACTTGCCAGACATTTTTTTTTTTTTTTTTTTTGAGAAAGAGGTTTTGTCTTTAAGCCCAGGCTGGGGGCAGTGGGACAATCTCGACTCACTGCAAGCTCCACCTCCTGGGTTCACACCATTCTCCTGCCTCAGCCCCCCGGTTAGCTGGGACTATAGGTGCCTGCCACCACGCCCATACTTTTTTTTTTTTTTTTTGTATTTTTAGTAGAGATGGGGTTTCACCATTTTAGACAGGATGGTCTTGATCTCCTGACCTCGTGATCCGCCTGTCTCGGCCTCCCAAAGTGCTAGGATTACAGGCATGAACCACCGCACCCGGCTTTTTTTTTTTTGTATCCAGAATATCTCTCCTTCATCTCACACAAAATAAAGAAAGACAGTCATTTTGGATCAGGCTTTCTTTCACCTGTGCCCTCCAAGTATATGAGCTTCAGCAGAGGGACGCTTTAGGAAATGCAGTGTTGTGAAGATGGAAAGTATGGTCCATGGTCTTACTACCGGATTTCAGACTATTTGTGGCTGCTGCTAAATGGGCTGCAGCCACATGATGACCCTATTGGAATGGGATGGAATGCTGGAAATGTATTTCAGGTGCTATATCCACAAGGAAAGAGAAATCAACATTTTCTCTCAGAGAGAAACATGTGTTTTCCCCACTTATTTAAAGATCACTACAAGTAAACCAAATGCTATCATTTTTTATAAATTTCCTTAAAATGTTTTGGTAAGGAAAAAAATGGTAAAATATACTTTGCTGAAAAGATGGATCCATGAGGTATCTTAAAAAAAAATGTAACTTAATGTGAAACTAACTTTTAAAAGAAAGGAGACGGGCACAGTGCAGTGGCTCACGCCTGTAATCCCAGCACTTTGGGAGGCCTAGGTAGGCAGATCACTTGAGGTCAGGAGACCAGCCTGGCCAACATGGTGAAACCCTGTCTCTACTAAAAATAACTAAAAACACAAAAATTAGCTGGCGTGGTAGCAGGCGCCTGTAGTCCCAGCTAATTAGGGGCCTAAGGCAGGAGAATTGCTTGACCCTGGGAGGTAGAGGTTGCAGTGAGCTGAGATCATGCCACTGCACTCCAGCCTGGGTGACAGAGTGAGACCTTGTCTCAAAAATAAAAGATAGGCTGAGAACGGTGGCTCACACCTGTAATCCCAGCACTTTGGGAGGCTGAGGTAGGCGGATCATGAGGGTCAGGACTTCGAGACCACCCTGGTCAACACGATGAAACCCTGTCTCTAGTAAAAATACAAAAATTAGCCAGGTATGGTGGCGCATGCCAGTAATCCCAGCTACTTGGGAGGCTGAGGTGGGAGAATCACTTGAACCCAGGATGCGGAGGTTGCAGTGAGCCGAGATGGCGCCACTGTACTCCAGCCTAGACAATAGAGCGATACTCCATCTCAAAAAATAAAATAAAATAAAAAATAAAAATAATACAAGATAAAATTAAAAAACAAAAATTAGGCAGATGTGGTGGCACATGCCTATAATCCCAGTTACTCAGGAGGCTGAGGCATGGGAATCACTAGAACCTGGGAGGTTGATGTTGCAGTGAGCCGAGATCTTGCCATTGCACTGCAGCCTGGGCAGCAAAGTGAGACTCTGTCTCAAAAAAATAATAAAATAAAATAAAGGAGAGGGACCTACTTGTCATAAGGAAGGGAGTGCAAAGTTTACAGAAGCAGCTTCTCCCCAGGTGCTACTACTGTTTTCGTTAGGGGAAACCCAGCTCTTGCCCTGTTGTGTGGTGCTCAGGCTGCCACTGGTCATGCAGCTTTTAGAATCCTGCCATGTGGCCAGCATGGATGATTATGGTGGCTTTAAGAAGCCCATACTAACAATATGTGCCACTGGAAGTAGAGAAGTTCAAATCTTGCCCACATGACCATGCAGTCATCTTGGATGAGGCAGCATTGGTTGAAAACCTTACCCACTGGCTGTGGACCGGTCCCAGTCTTCATTACTCAGCCCCACATCTGGGTAAGTCTGGCTTCGAGGCTTAGTGACTGGGGACAAGCTGCCTCTCTGTTTTGGACTCCTCCAGTCATAGGTGTTGAAATTGTATCCTGAGGCCTGAAAACTAGTGCCTAAAATATAAACAAGGTGTTAGCATCGGGCCCAAGGATTACTTAATACATTGAGAAATTACATTGTTAACCAGTAGAGGAGTTGAATAACAGCAATGACAATGACAATAGTGAACACATTGTGTGTCCTTATTGTGCACCAAGAACTTCACCAAGTACTTCATTTTGAGCCATCTTTTTTCTTTAGAGCCATCTTTGGAGGTAGATACTCATTATTTGCATTTTACAGATGAGGACACTGACGGCTTAGAACAGTGGTTTCAAGTACCCAAGGCTACTTGCAAACTTTCTTGGGAGTTCAAGTCACAATTTTAGGAGAATCGGTTTTCAGATCCTCAAGTTCTAGATGCACTTCTTCCCAAAACTGGCTTAGCTGAGATCTGCCAGTTAGTTCTCCCTTCTCATTTCCTCTTTCACAACTGTACTCCTGCCACTTTACAAACAAAAGACATATTTCTCATCCATTTCAAATCTTAATTTTTTGTTTTGTTTTTTGAGATGGAGTCTTGCTCTGTCGTCCAGGATGGAGTACAGTGGTGCAATCTTGCCTCACTGCAACCTCCCCCTCCCAGGTTCAAACAGTTCTCCTCCCTCAGTCTCCCAAATAGCTAGGATTACAGAAGTGCACCACCACATCCAGTTAATCTTTTTTATTTTTAGTAGAGACAGGGTTTTACCATGTTGGCCAGGATGGTCTCGAACTCCCGACCTCAGGTGATCCACACACCTCGGCCTCCCAGAGTGCTGTGATTACAGGTGTGAGCCATCGTGCTGGCCGCATTTCAAGTATTTGAAAGTGCCTGGGCCCGGGGATATAGACTCCCAGCTGCCAAATCAAGGGATAATTTGGGAAAGCCTTGTTCCTGTGATGAGGTCTGTTGGGAACAAGGCCTTATTTCAACCAGGCACAAACTCACGGCAAGGCTTTCACCGCTCTGTCTCGTCCATCTCTCATGCTGCCTCAGAGAATTCAGAAGGGCAACGGATGTCAGGGATAAGGAGCCTGCTGCATTTATTGTTTATTTGAATTGCAAAATGCTGACTTTTTTCTACCAAGGAGTTATATCTGATTAGCCTGATGGGTGAGACAGTGAGGAATGGCTTTGGCAATTAGGTTACATAATGGACACTTTCCACAAATTTGAGCTGAAGCTGTAGTTCCAAGATTTTGATAGAAATATTTTTAAAGCATTTTTACAACAAACTGGAAATTACAGTCTTTGCAAGTATTTACATTTTGTGAGAAAAACATTTAGACAACTTTTAGTAGGTGATGGGGTATATAGTTCTTTAAAATTATTTTGGGGGTTTAAGTGGGGCTCGATTATAGGTCTGACTCCATAGCTTGTGCTGTAATCATCACACACTCCTTCATCCACTACCTCAGGTTGTGACGTGTGTGTGCATGTGTGTTTACATGGATGCATTGGCTTGGAATATGATATGTGTTTCTTACTGTGCTTAAATCATTTAATACAGCAAACAGACCTGGACCCGCATTTTCAGGTACAGTTAAATGGTCTGATCGCGTAAGATGATTCTATCTCCATGATATCCTTGTTTCCTCTTCCCCGTTCACTTTCTCTCCACCTGTTGTCGAAGCCTCTAGTGCCGTTTTTGCTACTAGTTTAAAGCCCAAGGACAGCAGGGTATCTGAAGGATAATACTCTCTGATCAAAAGGATTTGATCTCAAGAACCCAGGGCAATGTCTACCACTACATGATGGAAATACTCTAAGAACCTTCTATTTTAGGACACCAAGGATTAGAAGACCTTGGAGCAGAGGAAATATTTACAGTTCAATATCTCATTCTCTCTCTTTTTCCTAGATAACTGCAGAAGCATGGTTAGCCATCTGGGAAGAAGTCTTGTGTGATGAATGCAGTTTTCTGTCAAAAGTGTTGACTTAAGGAAATACAGATGTGTCTTCTCTTGAAGGGGAACTAAGTAGCTGTGAATTTCATCCTGGCTCCTTCTGATGGACTAACCATTTTCTCCTTCTGAACCAACCAAACCAACCCCAAATACCTGAAGTCTCAGCTTTTATAATACGAAGAGTTTGGGGAAGCCTGTACCTCACTTTCTGTAACTGGTTTCAACCCTCAACCTTTCAAAGAGCCAATGCTAATTGGTGGTGTCTTCCTGGAGTATCCTTTTCTGACAAGCATTAACCCAAATGACCACTGAATTCCCTGGTGAAATTTCAACATTAGACTGATTTTCTTTCCAACTGTTGTTTGTATAATAAGTAGTTCTTGGAGACTTAGGCAAGAGTGCAAGAATGGGCTTGAGCAGATGTGCACCACCATCAGTAGGAAACTGCTAATCTTGAAAGGCATATGTATCTCTAATAAGGATGCCTTGTCTTAATAAGCACTATTAAATGATTATTGCATTACAACAAAGCAGAGAAAGAGAAGGGGATAAGAGGGCCGGGCGCGGTGGCTCAAGCCTGTAATCCCAGCACTTTGGGAGGCCGAGACGGGTGGATCACGAGGTCAGGAGATCGAGACCACCCTGGCTAACACGGTGAAACCCCGTCTCTACTTAAAAAAAAATACAAAAAACTAGCCGGGCAAGGTGGCGGGCGCCTGTAGTCCCAGCTACTCGGGAGGCTGAGGCAGGAGAATGGCGTGAACCTGGGAGGCGGAGCTTGCAGTGAGCTGAGATCCGGCCACCGCACTCCAGCCTGGGCGACAGAGCCAGACTCCGTCTCAAAAAAAAAAAAAAAAAAAAAAAAAGAAGGGGATAAGATTCAAATCTCTTTGGGTGAAATGTAAAGTCAGAAAACCTGATCCCAGCTCTTCCCTAGTCCGTGCTATGCTGACCCAGAGATTAAAGTAAGAGAAGTTGACCAGGTGCGGTGGCTCACGTCTAGCACTTTGGGAGGCCAAGACAGGCAGATGGCTTGAGCTTAGGAGTTCAAGACCAGCCTGGGCAATCAGCCATCTCTACAAAGAAAACAAACAAACAAAAACCCAAACCTCCAAAATTAGCTAGGCATGGTGGCACATGCCAGCTACTTGGGGCGCTGAGGCAAGAAGATCGCTTAAGTCTGGTCGTTGAGGCTGCAGTGAGCCAAGTTTGCACCACTGCACTCTAGCCTGGGTGACAAAGCGAGACCCTATTTCAAAAATAGAAAAGTAACTGGTCATGGTTATGCATACCTGTAATACCAGCTACTTGAGAGGCTGAGATAAGAGGATCCCTTGAGCCCAGGAGTTCACAACCAGTCTGAGCAACATAGCAAGACCCTGTCTCAAAAATAAATAAATAAAACTTAATAAAAGTAAAGTCAGAAAAGACCAAGGTTGAAATCCTAGCTCAGCCACTTCCTCACTTCACAGCCTGGCCAACTAACCTCAGGGTACAATGGGGATAACAATAGGTACTTTACTAGGTCGGTAAGAGAATGAAGAAGAATGAAAGCACACCCTATAAAAGTGCCTAGAACACAAGGAGGTTTTAATGAACACAATGCCCATTGTTACTATATACTAAGCCCTTCAACCTCTCAAGATCTCGGTTTCTTTATCTTTAAGGTAGGGAGACAAGGACAAGAGATAAGTCTCAGCATTATTAATGCAGTAAACATTCGGGTGTCTCTTAAGTATCAGATACTATATATCAGGAACTAAAATGCAAAGGGAAATACAACTGATTCCTGTCCTCAAAAACTGCATTGTTTGGTATATGTATAGGAGAAGGAGAAGAAAGAAGCATAGAAAGTGACTTCTAGTAGCATGTGAAAGTGTCATACTTTTAGGCTTAATACACTAATATGGAAGGACAGAGACCAGTTTGGGGATTGGAAGGTGGATCATGAAGGGTGCCAAAGGAAAAACGACATATAAGCTTAGAGTTAGATAGCAGGTCAGCATTTACTAGTTGGAACTGTTGGGTAAGACAGTGCATGGTGGGCACGGTGGCTCATGCCTGTAATCCCAGCATTTTGGGAACCTGAGGCAAGTGGTCCACCTGAGGCCAGGAGTTCGAGACCAGCCTGGCCAACATGGTGAAAACCCGTCTCTACTAAAAATACAAAAATTAGCTGGGTGTTGTGATGCATGCCTGTTGTCCCAGCTACTCTGGAGGCTGAGGCAAGAGAATCTCTTGAACCCAAGAGGCGGAGGTTACAGCGAGCCGAGGGCACACCATTGCACTCCAGCCTGGGCAGCAGACTGAGACTCTGTCTCAAAAACAACAACAACAACAACAGACAGTGTTGGCCAAGTAGAAGAGAGCCTGGTAAAGGTGCAGTCAGGGTAAACAGGGCCTCGATTCTATCAGTGGATCTCTGTTCTACTCCTAAGAAGGGAAAAGTATTCCAGGAATATTCTGGGCCCTCTTACCATGTGTACTTATTCCTCCCCATAGAAGGAATGTAATTTACCCAACTGTTGAGTTTTGGAAAAGAACACTGGGCATGCCACTCAGCCCGTTCCTGGCTTTCTCTGGACTCTTTCTCTCCCACTGCTGCTGCGCTGTGCGGTAAGCAAGCCTGGGTCACAATCTTGGGGCTCTCTGAGCTTGACAGAGGCAAGAAAAGGCATGACTGGGCAGTTAGATAACCGTGGCAGACTACCAGTTGCTCAACAGAACATTCATTCTCTTCTTCATCCTTAGTACCAGAGTACCCGTTTTGGGGTGAGCAAATTATTGTTCAGACTAAAACTATACTTCTTAGCTTCTCTCAAAGCTAAGTGCTACTTAGTGAAATGTTCTGGTCAATGATATAGCTAAGGGGACTTCTGAGAAGGCTCCTTATACCTTTGCTACTGCTGTCTGGAATGCAAATGAAATTGCTGGAGCCCCAGTAACTGTCTTGGACTATGAGGTAACCCCAAGGATGAAAGTCAGGTGCTAAGCATAACACAGTCGAAATATTTAGAAGCATGGGCCTCTGATGACACTGTGGAGTTACATACCAGCTTGAAGTGCCTGCTTCTTTATAATGTAAATCAATGTATTGTTAGTTTGCAGTTCTCTTCAGCTGAAC